TATATATATATATATATATAGATTTGATGATCGACGTGAATCATAAACACATTAGATATTTGTATTTAGATTTCAATTAGATATTGCTTTGTAAGTCAAGATTTTATACATTCTATCGATTACATAATTGATATCAGTTCAGAATAATCGAAGATATAACGTGACACATCCAAAAATGCACGGAAATCGAAATATCATCTATTTTTGGGACTTGTACAAAAATAACACGAATATTGTCTTTATTAGGATTAAGCTTTTTGTCGTGTTGATTCTATAAAAAGCATCAAATAAAGGATCCGCTTTGACAAATGAAAATTCATTGTCGATTGTTCAAAAATGATTGGCATTAAGAACTTTATTGTTTTTATGGCGTCAATGGGTTGCTGCAGAAATGGGTTGGAGAGTAATTGACATTTTGGAGTGTTGCGGTGCTGGCGTGGACGTTGCTGAGAACGCCTGAAATGTGTCAAACGTGACGTTATTTGGACGTTAATTATAAGATTTGATTGAATTAAAGTGGAATAAATATAGCTATTCTCTTCTATAATTTTTATAATAACAGATTTACGTGTTTTTTTAATTAAATTTACTTCTTTACGAATATTATAAATTTGGAAATGACCCAAAAATTTATGTTTGTTACCTCGTAGTGTCTTAACCTGTCACTATTAAATTTAGTATACAAATACTACGTGGGTCAAAGACGGCCCATTTTTATTTAAGTCATTGAAAATATACCGGCCAGGTGGACGAAGTCATCAGTAAAGCTAGTGTTTTTAATATCAAATTAATTTAGCTCCATAATCGGAACATATTAATTGACCGGCATAAAAAGTGATCTATGTCCTTCTTCATGTTTAATTATAGGTTAATGTTAAATATTATAATATTGGCATACAATAGGCCACTCCTTCCTTTTCCGTAGGTGTCGTAAGAGGCGACCAAGGGAAGTTAATGGACAAAGGATGGGCAGCAGTGTCCCTTTCAAAATATCGTCAAAGTCTAACTGCGATTAGTAACATGTCTGTCAAACGTAGCAACTACAGGCAAAACCGCCTTTATGGGGGAGGCCTATGTTCAGCATTGGATAGTAAATGTTATCGTGCTAAGAGGTAACAACCGAACTGAAACTAACTTTCATTTCCATTTTATATCTGACAAAGAAATGCAAGTATTATTAACTTCTTAATTTTGTTCGTGGCAACACAATCTTTCTCCTTGTAACCAAGTTTGACTGTAACCTTTATACTCGCTCGCAATAAAATATTCGCTCCATACCACAATATTCTTTATTATTCCAATATCAACTCGCAGCAGTCCACAATCGTACAATTTCCGTACACGAACAAACTCACTTACATATTTTTTATCATCATCATAAATATATAAGTGAGTTTATCATCATTTTATCCTCATAACAGTACTACTCATATGAATGTCATCGCTTGCACTGACATGCCTTTACAAGACGACGGATTTACGTATTTTTTTTGAGACTTGAATGAAATAATATACCTACATATTGTGTACCTTTTTTGTATGTTCCAGATATTTATATGGAAATTCAGAGTTTTAGACTGTGACTCTATCTTGAAATATTTGAGCCCCCAACAAGTGTTATCTGACTGAGTTCATCGCTTTTATAATCATCAACATTACAACCATATAATGGTATATACAGGAATGGCAACGCATGGGGGTATCATTGGTGAAACAGTACTCTTTTATGTCCATGGTACTGCTCATGTCTATAGGCGAGGGTTACCACTTTCCATCAGGTTGGCCGTCAGCTTGTTTACCATTCTAAGTTGCATAAAAAATATGATTTACCAAATATTTGTCATCAATATTTGCACATTGTCATTGAGTTACAGATCGTAAACCAAGAAAATAAATTTAAATAAAGATCCAGTTATATTATATACTAAAATTATTTTGTAATAGAAAGACGTACATTTTTAAAAGGGAGAAGAAAATGGTTAAACGGATATAAATAATATTTTTATGATTAAGTAAAAATATAGTGAAAGTAAAAATTTTCTTTCGTTATCGCAAATATATTACAAACAGTACTCAGCATAAACAGTAATAAGACTCCATCATGAACATTCAATGTTAACATTTAATGCAAGTTTTGCTACTGTTTCGCTAAAAAGGTTTGTTCGTATTACAAAGTCAAGATGAAACTTTTAGTGATATCTTTGGGTAGTAGTGGTAAATAGAAAGTTTATAAATTGCATGCAAACTGTAATATAGAAACTAATAAAGGTAAATTTGTAGTCATAGTTTAAAAGAGCATGAATGTATCAAAGTGTAAAAAATAAAAGACAATTCATAAAAATGTCGTGATTTTATGAGTATAATACGGATCTATTTTATACATACATATATAGCCATTATTATGTATATCATTATTAAAATAAATATAGGATTTTTATATATTGAAGTCATAATAAATTACTTTGTAAGTTTTTAATTGAATTGTTCAACGAATTAAAGTTATAATAATTGCAAAAAAAAGTCTGTTAAATTAATTAGATAATATTTTAAAATTTTGCTTTGCAAAAAAGAAATACTTCGATGCTGACAAAATTCATATGGAACTAATCCGTAAACCCTATGAATTGTAAAAGATGTGTTCTTTATGATACACGATATCTTGTGAACTAAATTTAATAATTATTATTATAATAAAAAGGATTTATATTTATACTTTCACCCGAAATTGCTGCCAATTGTTATCAAATTTTTAGACCTGTAAAAAAAAAACAGTAAAAATAATGTCATAATTTTTTCTTGCATAAAATAAACGTATTTCAGGTTGTTTTTTTTATTAAATTTAGAATTGTAATTCTTTATGAAATTCATAAATCTGGAATGTTCTAAGGTCGTTGAATATTTTAAGGGAGTTTAAGGTTAAACACTAGCGATATAATGAGACTGGTCGGATAAGCTACACGCATTATGAACAAAATTATTCAACGAGGGCTTAGAGTACGCTGTATTGTAATTTATTATAACTACATAGTTAACGGTTATTAATTGTGTGAATCGTCTGCATATATTTCAATACAAGCTTTTACCCGCGATTTCATCCGCGAGCGAGATTTGTTTATTGTCTTGGATAAAAAGTTAAAGCTTATATCCTTCTCCATCCCATATAGTAGGTGTATACTAAATTTAATAATGATTGGTTAAAACGTTAGGACGCTGCAAGGTAATAAACTAACAAACGTATCTTTCATATTTATAATATTAGTAAGGACTGGTAAGATTTTTATTTCACACACTTACGTAATGAAAAGTTTTTTTTTTTATAAATATTCAGTAACACTATACTGAGAACTAGAAAAAAATTAAAGTAACTACGTTCAGAGGGCCTACCATAAAATGTTTTCCGAAATTTCGAAGCTGAACGAAACACTAATTTGATGTTAAAATTGTAGTGTTTAAAAATATTAAAATAGCGTTCCATTAGACTATTATAGTATAATTTATGACGAACGAAATGTTAAGCTCCATTTACTATGTCGATTTCGGTTTGAACAAAAACACGAAATAGAGTCCGAAAAATCGGAATTTTATTACATGGTAGTCCCCCAGATATAATCATATATAATAAGACAATAACAATGACAAATATTATAAATGTATGATAGCTTGTCTGTAAGATTAAAGGAACTATAATTAAATTTAGTTTAATAATCTACATTTAGAAATAAAGATACTTTATTCATTTTATACATGTAACTAATGCTGCAAGATTCACATATTCATATTAAAATCGGTATATTTATTGTTATTATTTTATATATGTATTAACATAATTGTTTATTTAAAAAAATTGGAATGCTATAACCGATTAACTAATACTAATGCTGGGCCGATATGACGTAAGAAGTTATAATTCAGACATCAAAACAGAAAACGTCTCGCTCGTTCATTATCTAGTGGATGATTCCTTTCCAGCAAAAACGCCTTTCATCATGTTCCGTCTCACACACGGCGCAGAGGGCACTCAAAAATTCATCGCCCGTCTGCGAACCTGAATGGCTTCGGCCGTAGACATTTCGAAGTGGTTGTAGTAATGTGCTTAATAAGTTATTCCGGTTTCTAGAAAATGTAAAGAAGGTCCATAAGCCACTTTGCGTGAACAGGGTATTGGACTTGATCCTCGGTTGAATTAAGGAATCTATTTTTGTTGTCTACAGTTTCTATTCCAGATGTCTAGATACTAGTTCGAGTAACAGGCAATTGGTTTAATGGTGCGGTATTTATTTTTATTTTTAAAGCTCTGTGTGTTGTCATTATTAATCATCCTATAACAACTAATTTTTGATGAAACTTTACTGGATATCTGTCAAATATATATTCTCATTACACACGGGAAATGATGATGCCTACCATCTATAGATAACGATAGATTATGATTTATGTTCAGACTAGGTATGAAATCATACCATCCTGCCCCTATTCCAATAATTTGGGGTCGACGTAATATAATTTTGAAGGATTTATGAGGAAAAGGGTAACAGAAACAATGCAATTACAAAGGGGATACTGGTAAAAAAACTGCAGTGACCAGGATCACATACGTCCTAACTCTAGTACCAAACTGATCAATAGAAGAGAACGCCCCTAGCAAATTATCACCAGACACCATAACACTATTGTTTTATGCAACTTAGAATATCAAAGGAGTTAATGATCTACCTAATGATAATTAGTAACAGTCACATAGGCAAAACACCATGGACATCGTAACATCACTCTGACGCTCATATTATGAATGCATTGCTATTTTTCAAGATTCAAGATTTATGGTTAAAGTGTAAAGCCTTGGTAATAAGCATTTTCCCTATATATAATAGATGACTCTTTACGAAACAACAATGTAAGCACAGCTGTTTGGTGGCAGAAACACGAGTGCCTATGCAGCAAATGTTATCCAAATTCTCTTTCTGCATATCAGTAGCATTAAAAAACATTTTTAATTTCAGGATTCCACTTCAAGCTGAATAAAAAAAAATACATTGTTTGTATTTATTCTGCGACAAAATTTGAGAGCATGGCAGTGAAACAATCAGTATGGCGATGATACTCCAGCGGGACGTAATAGATTAAAAATTTGTTAAGTAAACGTGCTTTCTTTTTCCTTCCCTTCGTACTACGGCGCACCGCGGATTTTCATCCAAAAATATGCGCCGTGCCTCACACGGGCCCTCAAAAATTCAACGACGCGAGACTGTAGCGTCCATATTCTGGTTGGTTGCTTTAATATTAACATTGGCAGTGTACTAGGAGATTAAAGACGTATCTTTTTGTTTATTAATCCATGCGAAGTTAAGGTTGATCACTAGTTTAAAATAAGAATACAGAGATAACAATGAAGTACTGCGTTCGTGATTCTCCCAAACTGATCGTCCCAAAGTTTGAATGAGAATGCTACTGGCATTAAATCCGCCTTTCATATCATATTTTCTATTAGTCAATCAAGTTATTTAAATAAATAACTGCTAATATTAATTTTATTACTATGTAGGTACACTATATTTTGAATTAATATAATTTCAGCGATACTGTATTTTAGAATTGTTCAGAATAAGGATATGGCTACGTTTTCGGTAGGCGGAGGTGGCCAGGTCTCCAGACGATGTCTGATGAATATTTCACTTCATTATAACAGTCTGCTAGTACGTTTCTTTTGCAATATTAATCGCAACGACGTGAATATGAAAATTATATAAGTGAATTAGCTAATTTATGCACACTGAGTTAATAATTAGACAACTATTTTATATGTAATACACATCAAACACACAGACATACACTTGTATACATTTCCTAATTATTATCATATATATCATGTCATCATCATCATGTCAGCCGTTAACTATTTATTGTTGCATATAGGCCTCCCCTTTTGGAGGGGGGAGAGTTGTCAGTAGTCGACCCGCTTGGCAGCCGCAGTTAGGCTTTGGTCATGTTTTGAAACGCTGCTGCCTATTGCCTGACCAATATCTTCCCTTAGTCGCCTCTTACGACATCCATGGGAGAGGAAGCGGTGGCCCATTCTATGCCAGACCACAGAGCACCAGATATGCTACATATGGCGCATTAATGAATTTGTATATAATTTAAACTTCAAAAATAATAACGATATGTTTTATAATAAAAATAACAGGTTTTCTTTAATTAACGAGTGCTTTTTATTAGTAAATTTCCCAAATAATTACAGTTTATACTGTAAAAGAAGTATATAATTTATTGATAACATAATGAAAAAGAATGTTAATTGGTTTTATAAATGGAAATAAAACCGAGCCGCTCTAATTTTTGGTGTCTTATCTTTGTTTATACCACTGAAATAGCAAACAAAGAGGTTTCTTCAGGTAATACCTCTGATATTGCAGGCGTTCATAGGCTATGGTAACTGCTTACCATCAGGTTGGCCGAACGCTTGTTAGCCACCTCTCTGGTATAATCTATGCTGTTAAAGGATTTGGCATGGTTTTATGGCCAGCTATCTGCCTGATACCAACCCTCTGCTACTGTTAGTGATTTGGTGCACGACTAAAGAAAGATAACTGTAATTTAAAATAAGTTGTTTTTTTATTATAGGTGTGACTGAATACTTTTGGTATCGAATTAATTATTTCATCAAAGCTCTTAGTGTACAACGAAGTTAGTCACAGTTTCTAACACTTTACATCAGAGGGTGACACCCACGTCACGACACGAGTAATGGTAGTACGTAGTAATAGCGACTTCTGGCAGTATCCCGCTACAGAGATATGTAAGTAATCTGTAGTTATTATTTGGGGTGAACTAAAGATTATTAATGTAATTGAGCGCAGTCAGCGTCTCGGGCACCCTTTTCTCTTACGTTTTGCGACTAAAAGCCTTACGAAATGGTTCAACGTTTGAGCGAGGAGCGGTTCATATTTTAAACGTTTATAATTAATTATTTAAAAATTAAATATTATTATATTTAAAATTTAGTTACATACCTATAAGTTAACTATATTTGAGGTAAATATGGCACTTTTTAAAGAAAGTTTGAAAATAATTATAGTAAAAACAATATCAGTTATTTTTAAATATAAGTACGGTATTTTTCTGAAAGTGAAACTTTTCTATTAAAATTGGTCAAAAATAGGCGAAGACATGAAACATTATAAAATAAGCACATTATAAAATATATTCAAATTTAGAACCTCTTTTTTTTAATGTGTTGACAAAATATACAAGCTATTAGCTAAAAATAACTTATTTTGTTGAAACAATAATGCTTTAAACAATTATTATAAAACATTAATAATAAACATTTTTATTATATAATATGATGCTTATATAATTTATTTATTTATTTATATAAGGTACACCAACAATAGATTCCCAATAGGTTTTTTTAATAGAATGGTAACCTCGCTTGCGCTAACGGTATACACTGGCGGGGCACCAGTGAAAGATGAAAAGGCAGGTCAGTTAGGGCATCGTGATTAATACACCTGAAATTCAGTACGAACGTTTACAGGGGGATCACGTGGAGGTCGACCTGAGAGGGTATATTGCTAACAATGGGACTTTTAGTCCGCATTACCAACTATCCCTCCCCCTTGGTACACAATAGTTAGGTACAATGTTATAAGCGAGCTTAAGGATGGATGAATATAAATTGTTCTTTAATATAAGGAAAACATTACATAATACGCAATTATAACAAAAAAATTACATATACAAGAAACAATTTTTATAATAGTCACATTAAATAATATTTCTTTTAGTTCTATTCCAAATATACGGAATTATACTGAATTCCTTTGCTTCATTTTCCCGGACAATTTACAGACATACTCGTATATAAATCTATGTTGGAAATGTCAAATCAATCCCATTTCGTCGGACGGAGACTCGCAATTTCCTTATCAATTGAGCCACAAGGTTAAGATACGTTCGAAACGTAGAGGCGCACGTAAATTTCATTTACCGTTGGAAAGTGCCGAGCGGCGGGCTCTAACGCAAACTCCACTTAATTACGCACATAAATTGAAGTGCTCTCCCTATACGATGGATGTACCCCTGTTTCAACTCATAAAATATATTTTCTTAGACACCATGTGTAGTACTAATAACTTCAGTAACAAGAAATGAACGCGGTTCAAGTGAAGTGCAATCTCTCATACAGCGTATGTGCCTTATAAAGTAAATGTACTACATCATACAGCATTCTCTACGGTGTAAGGGATTAGACATATGTAGTCTCTTCACCTTTCTCAAGTTGACCCCCCCCTCGTCGTTTTCTCTATAATTCCAATAATTATGAACATTGGAATGTGCCGAGTGGCGAGTATATAAACTGCTATACCTATACGATAAATGTACCTTAATTTTAACTCATAAAATATATTTTTTTATACACTATGTAAGAAGAAACGAAAGCGGTAGAAATAAAGTGCAATCTCTCACACAGAGTGAGTGTAGTATAAATGAGTTCTACTACACCGTAGTAGAACTCTTACTCTCTCTTGAGCTGATCTCCCCCATCCTCCCCTCGACGATTCAAATAATTATTACCATTGGAAAGTACCGGCGGGCACAGAAATTGTTCTTTAATATAATTGTTTCTTGCCGTGTGTGATTCGACACAGAATGGGCCACCTCTTCCTTTCCCATTGGTGTCGTAAGAGGCGATTAAGCCAGGGCGAAGAATGGGAAACAGCGTCTCTCTTAAAACTACTCTAAAAGCCTAACTGCGGTTGCCATCCCGCCTGCCAAGCGTGGCAATTACTGGCAAAATTCCCTTTATGGGGAAGGCTTATGTATAGCTGTGGACAGTTAACGGCTGAAATAATAATAATAATATAAAAAAAATCTTAGACACCATATTTAATATTAATAATTTCGATATCAAGAAATATAGTATAGTAAAGTTTTCTATCTGATTAAGAGAGCCTATGGTGGAGATATGTATAGCAGCGTCCTTCTTAAAACATCAAAAACCAAACTGCGGTTATTAACCCGCCTGCCAAGTGTGGTGACTACTGGAAAAATTTCCCTTATGGGGGAGGCTATATTCAGGCTATATTCAGTGGGCAGTTATTGGTTGATACAACAAAGTTATCGGTTCACTTATAAATAGTACTTCTAGTAGTATTAGGACATTAACGGATGAACTACAGTGCAAGCATAGTTAAAGAAATGTATTGAACAGAGCATACTGTATAAAAATATCTGAATGAATAAATTTTAACCAGTAGAAAACGTAAAGCAGTTGTATTTGCATAGTTGTGTTTCGGTTTGAAGTTGCCATATCCTGGCAGTGAAGTTTCAAGGTACAGGGAATAACATCTAAGTTCTCAGGAATGGTAACGCGCGGGGTGTATTATAGACGAAACAGTACTCTGTTATGCCCCCATAGACATAACAGAGTATACTGTACTTGAATATGACTGCTCCATTACTACTCATGTCTATAGGCGATGGTCACCACTTTCCATCAAGTGAGCCGTCAGCTTGTTTGTCATTCTAAATTGCATAAAAGAAGTAACACCTAAAACATACTATTCAAATTACCAGTGCAAGAGAAGAAAAGGCTGATATAAAACTTTGTACTAAATTACTTAGCCAATGTGTTAAAAGTACCTTAGTTATACTCTATTTGTGGGAGAATACCATGCCTATCTATGGGATGATAATGGGTTGTTATGGTGCAGGAAGTTAAGCGACAGAGTTTTTAAAATCTTAACGACTGTTATTTAAGAGCAATAACCAAGATCGACAGTTTAAGATGATTTAAGTGGACTTTAAACTACGGAAATTGTCGAGATGTCTTAAAGAGTTTCGTTTCTTTATTATATTAATAGCAATGCGCTCCGACTTTGCTCATTTTTTTTTTAAATAAAATACAAGCCATGTTACTTGTTGTAAATATAGCTTTCTATAGGTAAACGATATTATTTTTAATCGGTCAAGTAGTTTTAGTGTTCATTCATTACGTTTTTTTTATGTCTAGTAGACATGAATAGTACCATAGCTGACAAAGAATGCACTGTGATTTCTAAGAACTGTAATTTTACTGCCATATTTATTAATTTTAATTTTAATGTACAGTGAAATTATGTATATATTTTGT